AACTGGCAGTTTCATCATTGCCAACATTTCATGAAGTTTGTGGAGTAATTCAGAGATGCAGCTGAGTCGCGGGAGGCAGCCTGTATATCCTGGGGAAATTTGGGAGACTCATATCACTACATCAGTTCTCAAAACTTCAAAAAGTTGGGGCTCAGCAGTCAGAAACCCCAGATATCTCACCCCAAACAACTGCCTGTTTCCCACACATAGCACTGACACTTACCAGAAATTGCCTTCTTCGAAGGGTAGCCCCATGCCTTATACCACCTTCAGGCATCTTCACCAGTGAGCAGAAGGCCCATTTTCCACTTTCCATTTCCTCTGCATCCTCTCACTCTTGAGGTATCTGTTACTCAGTGTTCTCCAGTGCTGGGCAACATGCCAAGTAGAAGGGGCTGGATTTCAGTCCTGAGGGCAGCATTACTAAACCACTGCAACACTGATTATTACATTGTTTAAAAAATCACAACAAAACAGGAGATTTTTTTGACTACATTGTAATTGCAGCCAACTTCTATTATTGTTTTCCTAGATGCACTACTGCATTTATTCTTTCTATTTACATAATAAAATAAGACTACCAATAAAAATGCACGCTGACCACAGCTTATTTTTTCTTCTGTATTTAGAAGCCAAAATGTGACCATCAGTATGTTTTCTGTTTATATTTCAGGTACAACACTGAAGAAACCAACTGTAAAAGTGATAGCTTTCTGCCGGTGTGTTTACATGAAGCAAGTCACAATGGAGGTCAATCCAGTGTCATAAGCAACAAGAACGTCTCACCAAGGCCATGCCTACACAGCAACATTATTTTGAAATAACTAGCATTATTTCAAAATAACTTAGTCTGTGTCTACACAGCAGGCAGTTATTTCAAAATAATGTTGAAATATTGTCAAGCTAGCGGACGTCTTACTCTGACTCTTGTAACCCTCGTTGTGTGAGGTATAAGGGAAGTCGGAGGAAGAATGCTCTATTTTGAAATAAGTGCTGTGTAGATGCTCCTAATTTCAATATAAACTATTTTGAATTAAGCTACACAAATGACATAGCTCAATTTGTGTAGCTTATTTCGAGTTAAGCCCTGCTGTGTAGATGCATACCAAGAGACCCAGTGAAGACCTCATACTGGAAAGTTGTCCTACTCTTCATTTTAACAACAAATATTGTTAGGAGCTTACACACACCTCCTTAAATTGAGGTTTGCAAATGGGCAATAAACATGCTCCATTTTTCAATTGCAATGAGATTATGGTGAAAATAGTTTCATGACATGAATGTAAATGAAAAATATTGCACCACATGACAAAGTCTTTCAGGCAACTGAAAACACACAATATAGGGTTTTTTTTGAAAATGCAAGAATGTGTCTAATAAGCACTCACTTGGTTTAGATAATTTAGAAGATTTTCATTCTTTTGGATAGTGTAAATATTGTGAATTTCTACTGATCTTCACAGAAATTCTTAATAGTTTAATCATCTTAAACTTGATCATGAAGGTTACATTTGTATACTGAGGTTTACCACTTAGTTTAATTTTTTTTTGTAAACGTGGAGGTAAAAATACTAAAAAGTATAAAATGCTCTGCCCTGGATTCTCCAAAGAAGTTTGTTTACTATGTATCCTAGTTATAAAGGGTTGTGTTTCAGAATGACAACTAAAAAGTTGTTACTTGTTCTAAGGCAAGAAAAACACCCTATTTAACTGTCAAACAATGATTTTATTTCATTCCAAAAAGTCTTATTTTTCTAATTAGAACCCAGTTAGATATACCACTAACTTCACTTTCATTTTCTATGAAAAAACCTCTTAAGAGGGTTTAACTTAAGATAACTTATTTTCAAGAAGTGCTTAACTGCAAGGTGTCACATACTATAAGGACGCAGAATTAGAGTGATTGAAACTGGATACATAAAAATTCTATGGGCAGTGGGACTAGTGATCTAATGGTCCCTTCTAGCCTTATAATCTATGAAAAGAACATTAGATCATCTACGTCAGTAACCTGCCTCAAATATGGTTTGTCATCTGATGCTTTGTGGAAGAGAAAAAAATTATCCATAATGCAAGTAGACAATTATATGTTGTAATATGTGGAGATGAATGAGGTGAGGAAAGAGGATTCTTTCCTGGTCCCCCATTTTATTCCTTGAAGCATGAGATGTGATTACCCTTTGCTTGAAAATGTATGGCTGCTAGTCAGCTTCTGTGGATGGCTTTTTAAAAGGATGGATAATGTAGTGACTATTATCTAAATTTTGCCAAATTTGAATTGGTACAAAAGAACCTAATGCACTGAATTTCATGTCACAGGTCCAGATATAGTGCATAGTTTCCTCTTTCATGGGTAGTTATGAAATAAATCCCACCCACTAGGGTCTCCGAGGTTTCCAGTAAAGGACATCTTCAGGATGGAAACATTTGCCACAAAGAACATGTCCTCTACACTACAGAGGAACAGTCATGACCTTCCTTTGTTGCCAGATATAGGCAACTGTGGGCAGCTAAGAATTTACCATTTAGAATGTAAAAAGTCTAAAATCACAAACCATTAATCACAGAGGCACCCCTTCAGAAATGCTAACATGACGCTCTAGCTGGGGGCTCATCAAATAATAATGAAGCTCAACAAAAGGGGTTGTGTAAGAACCAAACTGAATTCTCTTTTCTTGTATTGAGTTGGCCTCTTTTATCTTCATTATGTTTACTTCTAAACTGTTCTTGCAATACTGAAGGCCAATGAGAGCATGAGGCCAGAATTTCTTCACAGAGTAATACATGCCAAACCTGCCCTTTTAAACACTGTAGCCTTAATAAAATATCATCCCAACCCTTCAAAATGATCAGGTTTCATTGCCTTAAAATCAGTGATACTACCCGCTTTCCAATTCTTAAAAGAACAAGGCATGCAAGATGCAAATTCCCAATGGAAGGCATGTTGGAAAAAATACTGTTTTTAAAAGGCCCACACCTTTCAGGGCTCATTGGTGTATCATAAACAAGCCAACCAAGGACACCAAGGCACCATTTCTTCTTTCCTCTAAAGATCATTTTTAAAGCACAAGAGTCTCCAGATTAAATTCTCAGTGGAGTTTTGAGACTTGGCAAAACCCTGGAAGTCTGCAAATTCAAATCACTTGTATGAATGAGCGCAATCTTATTGATTCTGAAGAAGCTGGGACCTCTCATGCCACTGATGAAAATGTCAGGTGTTAAAATGAGATTAAAAATAAAGTTAATAAGATGTAGATTATGTTTTAAGGGCCTGGTTTTAGAATTTTATACATCAAGTAAAAACAGTTTGGCTACGTATAGACTGGCATGATTTTCCGCAAATGCTTTTAATGGAAAAGTTTTTCTGTTAAAATCATTTGCGGAAAAGAGCATCTAGATTGGCACGGATGCTTTTGCGCAAAAGCACTTTTTGCGGAAAAGCATCCGTGCCAAGCTAGACGTGGTTTTGCACAAGAAAGCACCGATCGCCATTTTTGCCATTGGGGTTTTTTTGCGCAAAATGGTTCTCAGTTGTCTACACTGGCCCTCTTACGCAAAAGCATTTGCGCAAGAGGGCTTTTTCCTGAACGAGAGCAGCATTGCATTTGCACAAGAACACTGACGATCATACATTAGATCGTCAGTGTTCTTGCACAAATTCAAGTGGCCAGTGTAGACAGCTGGCAAGTTTTTCTGCAAAAGCAGCTGCTTTTGCGGAAAAACTTGCCAGTCTAGACGCAGCCTTTTAGTCTGAAAGTAACATCAGAATAGTTTGTGTTCTAACAAAATAGATTAACAACACAAAACACTGTAAGTGGATCTAGCAGGGCTTCTCTTATGCAGAGGTAGTGGGGAACAAGGGCTCTTGGGAGGGCAAATCCCTAGTTTAATAAAATGACTGGTCCTGCTGTGCCAAGCAAGGCCCAGCAGCCTGAATGCAAATTTACTGTGAAAGCTTCACTCCTGTTCAAGCCAAACAACGTAAAATGTGAAAAATGTGCATGTTATTAGCAATGTTGTTGTGGCCACGTTGTGCCTCAGGTGTTAGAGAGACAATGTGTGTTAGGTAACGAGAGAAGTTTTCAAGCTCTATAGAGCTTCTGGTGTGAAGGAGAGTTCTGTGTGAGTCCAAAGCTTGTCTCTCTCCAAGAGAAGCTGGTCCAAGAAAAGATATTACCTCACCCACCTTTTCTCTCTATAAAGTCACTACAGCAGAGCACAATCTGCCCACTGTTTTCATTTTGTTTGTTCTCAGATTGTTTAGCGAGTGGGGCAAAGCACCCCTTGGCTCCTTTGAATGGTGACCACTCATCACTGAACAAAATTGGCCTTAACTATATAATACTAAGCACATGCTCTGGAACAGACTCAGTCAGAAATTTTAGACATGAACATGCAGTAAGGTAAGTGTCCTTCAGAAAACTGGTCATTAAAAGGGGTGGGTGGGTATTGTGAATATAGTGAAAAGGCCTTATTTTGCCTTGCCTCACATCTGGTTTTTCTCTTCCATGTTATTGTTCTTGCTAAGTTACAAGGTCACTGGTAGGTGGATATTGATTTAAAGATGCACTACAAAGTTGCAAATAAATTGACACATTTAAGAACAGCAACAACAAAAGAAGTCATAGAAACACAGACTGACATTTCCTTTGCGATGAGAAAGGAATAAGCTCTGGTTGTAGCTTTGGTAGGGAAAAGTGTGATTGGAGGCCACATGTAAACAACTCTGCAAAGTTGTTCAGTGATTAATATGAAATGCACATTGTTTTTAAACCATGACAGCAGAGAAATTGAATACTTCAGTACATATGATTGAATGTAATTAAACTACATACATTTAAATGCTATAGCTACCATATTTTTAACTCCTTTTCTTAAATTTGTCATATATGATATATAGTATTATGCTTTATGTATTATATTTTAGTTACCATATTCTACATTGCATATTAAAATCACTTGAATCCTATGTTATATATAGTCTCTTTTCAACATTCTTTTTATTTATTTACTTTACATATCATTAATAATTCACCATTTTTCAGAAATGAAAATTCATTATTCAATAATAGCTAATGCTTATCAGTTTTATTTAAAACTCTCACTTGTTTCTTTTTCTGCAATGTGGCCGTTAGCATAAGGAAAATGTAGACCTTTTCCTTCAATCTGTTCTCTGGGTAAAAGTCTATGTATTTTGTACACAATAGCACATGTAAAGTTTTCCGAGGGCAGAATATCAGTTCAGTATAATTCAGTCCACATGAAACTAACTAATTCCTAGGTATATGCTATGTGAGTGGACAAAAATTTGTATCCACATCTGATCTACAAAAACAGTCTGCAGCTATCTGCAGATTGCTGATGGGAATTGGATAATCTCCTAGTTTCGCAGCTGTATCTGAAAAGAGGGAAGTTTCTGACCACTGGGAGGCAGCGCAAGTAGAACCACATGAAAAGAGCAAGTGTCAATTTACCTAGTCAAAGAAACCGTCATCCCTACCCTATACAACTCTATGGTAGCAAGCACTACATCTGGTAGTAAGTGTTTCAGTAAACTAGTTAGTAGCAGAGACTCAATTTTCAATGTTGTATAAAGTGTCTAATACATTTTTTGAGTGCCATGTTAAAGATACTTACAGTTTAATTTAAAAAAAATTTAAATTCTTCTTTGAAGGAGGAAAAATCAAGAAATTAAGACTTGGCCACTGTGTAAGGGAGCATAGATTGGAGATACAAGTCTATTAACACATACCTTTTGCCCTCTTTACTGTGGAACTCCCATTAAAGTCAATGAGATTTCTGCATATGGAAAAATGCAATGCGCCTACATCCACAGAAACAGGACAGGTTTAGAAATAAAAGCAACATTTTTACACAGAGCAGTAGGAGTCAATAGAAATGTCCCTGCAAGTTTCCAAACACAAAATAATGATCAAGAGCTAACTTCTAGAAAGTTGTTAGGTTTTACTGTATAAGACTATTGCCAAGCTGTGCCAATCCATTGTCTCAGCATCCCATCCAGTCAAATGGTGAAGAGCACAGCGATCAACTGAACAGTCACACTTCCCCTGACGTAATATGTATTTGTTATCATGGGGCCCCCAGACCTATCCTGTGAGGTCTTGAACACTCAAAATCCCACTGAAAGTGATTGGACATTAAGGATACTTTGCACCGCTCAGAACTGAGACAGTCTAATTATGTTAAGAGTCTTTGAATGGCTTTAGTGGGAAGCATTTTCTCATCCATTTATGGAGGATTTACATCAGCAATCAACTGTAATGCTACTATGAACGTGTACATCTATTAATGGTAATGAGGAGCTCACTGTGTAAATCTCACACATATGGATGGAAGCTGGCAAATTCTCCCATGCTGGAAAATTAACAACACTGAAAGCTTAACACAACATTCAATATGAGGTATAATGATAACAAGTCCAATGCAAGAAAGTGCTGAACACCCTAAAACTCCTTCAGTGGATCTTTACCAATAGTTGAGGGCATTCAGAATCTTGCAAAAACAGGGCTAGTGGTAGATGCTGTAATGCAAAAAAGAAAGGTGCAATGAAGCTGGCAGCATGATAATCAGAGAGCATCTTTCTTGTCCCTTATGGAAAAGACAAGGGCACACATGGCTATGACTGTGAGCTGGCTGAAAAAGCAGCACACAAGAAAATGTGTGTTTGCATTACGGTTCTGACAACGCTCCTCTGTGCTCAGGTACAGTGTGTATTTTGTGTGCAGATTTGTTAGGCAGAACAGTTGCCAAAGAACTGCACAGATTCGTTAGGCAGAGCAGTTGGGTAAAAGTAGAATGCAGTGGTATTCAGCTGCATGATGAACTTATGTGTTTTGCTTACTTGCATGTTATAGCTAACCTCTATGTGAATGCAGCCCAGGGAGTTATCATCTGTAAAAAAAAATCAATATGAAAAAAAACATCATTTTACCTAATTAAAACAATCTCATACTTTTTCAAGTGAAGTTTTGTGTGTGTCTGGAATTTGAATTAACTTATATCAATGTAGTAATAACTTTCCATAAGTGCTGTATGCATCATCTGGATACTCTTTTACTTGCCTTGCATTTATATGGTTCAAATACAATAAAACAAGGGGATTCAAGAACAAGGCCGTCTGGAACAGCATCTACAGTGGAAACATTTCTAACTTAGTTTTGAAAAGCTTTTCAGCCTTGCTGTTCTTCTAGGCAGTCATCATCTTCTAAACCCCTCCCTCCCCATTGGATAGAATTGTACCAAAAAATCTGAGCCTTCTCCAGGTCAATATTTTGAACTTATTTGAGTGGCATTTACAATTCCAAGGACACATTTTGTGCTGCTTCTGAATGCTGTTTTCTAACTTGCTGTTTCTAAAGGAGTAAATGGATGTTTTATTTGTTTGTTGTACTTGTGTTTATTTTTTTATTTAAGATTTTTCACAGCCACGTCTTCCCCTTTTACCAGTGTCCACAATTGAGTATTGTCACTGACCTATGGCAGGAAGTCACAGTGAGAGCTTTGTCGTGCAGTCCCTAGCGTTCCTGGTTGGCACTCTACTCAGTTCTCCAGATGCTAGCCTTTGATAGGGTTCCCCCTTTAATACTCAGTCTAATAAACTTATGCAGGGGTTCTCAAACCTCAATGTGCCACTACCTCCATCTGACAACAGAAATTGCTACACAACCCTGGGAGAGGGAACCAAAGCTTAAGCCCACCCAAGTTCCTCACTTCCTAGCTGGAGGACCAAAAGTAAGGCCCGAGCTTTGTACCGCTGTTTACAGTGGGGGTGGGGCACAGATGAAGCCCAAAGGCCTCAGTCTGAGGTAGGGGGCCTATAACTTGAGCCTGGGAGGTGGGACGTGGGGGGGGTTTGGCTTCAGCCGCACGTTCCAGCATGTCTAAGCCAGCTCTGGTGGCCCCATTCAAAACAGGCCTCGACCCACATTGGGGTCCCAAGCCACAGTTTGAGAACAGCTGAAATGGATTCCTAGGGCTGCCATATGTCTTCACTGGCTGCAGTGGCTGACCCACGTTGTTCCTGACCCTGTAGCATGGGAGTCTTGCTGAGACCCCTCCACAGCAGCTTCGTGCCCTGAAACCTGCTGCTGCAATGAAAGCTGGCTCCCTGGTGTGGTGTGAGGAAAAAACAGGGCAAGTTGGTGCCCTGCTCTCTCCTCCTGCCTGGCCTTCCCCTGCAGCCAGTCCCCACAGCTGCTGTCTCCTTACCATCTAGCTCTCCCTCCATCTCCTGTGCCCTTCTCACCTCTGCTGCTACTTCCCTGGCCTGTGCTGGAGCGACCCTGGCTGGCTGTGGCACTCCAGCTGTGCTCCGCCCTTGCAGTGCTCGCAGGAAGAG